AAAAAAAAAAAAAAACACCAACCCAAAACACTATTTTTCTAGCTAAGCAGAACTAGCACAGTACCGAAGGTGGTACAAACTTACTTTGAGAACTCAAAGCAAGGATTTCAGAGTCCCCTTCTGCTATATATTGCAGGCCACCTTTTGACAGTAACAAAATCTGTCCCAGCATTTGAACATTCCTTTTTGAGTGGTGATGACATGGGCAGCGTGCTTATACAATACGTACCAAGAGAAGTGATCTCTGCCCAAACTTGTCTTAATTATTCAGATTAGTGAATTAGAGCACTAATATATATATATATTTTGAGTCTCGTATTTACCTGTATGGTCTGATAATTTTTTGCCCATAACGCAGTGCACCTTCCCAGTCCTGCACATAGAGACAGACACCCATGGCCTGGTACATCATATGTAACATATAAACATTGCTGTCTTCAAACACTGCACCCATCTTGTCCAGGCTGAGTTCACAGATCTCCAGTAATTCACTGGGAGGTATGAAGAAGTCAAGGAACCAAATAAATAGAGAGCCTCTCATTAGATAACTACCTGGTAGTGCCAAAGAAGAATCGATTTAAACTTGTTCAGAATGGTTCTGAGAAGCCCTCTTTTCTCTCAAATGGCATCAAAATACCTGTGCTACAACCCCAGAGCTCCTCTAAGAGTTACTCTATACTCAGGGGTACTCTGCTCATGAGATTATTCCTCCTCCCACTCAGATATTCTACAGAATTAGCTTTCAGATTTAAAAAGCAATAAAAAAGCAGTTTTCCTGAATCACCACTGCACCAGCACTGTGTCAGAAGAAGGGGGAGTGAAATTCCCCACGCAGTGGGTACTGGGTCAGGCATGCGATAGCCTGGTCTGCTTCTGGCCCAATGAATGTTGCGTTTTTGTCTGCATCGCGCAACCATTACGACAGGTAGGCTTGTGACCATCAGCAACAGCCTCTCAAAACCAGGCAGTATGACAGCAGTATGAAGCACCCACCTCTGCTCACTCTAGTCTCTGGCTTGTTGTGTGGAGCCAGCCATATGCTGCACTCTTAGAAACTGAGAACCGCACAGGAAGGCAAAAAGACAGGGATCCCACAGCACCAAAAATGTTCAACTGCCCCTTGTCTGCAGGGACAACTCTTCAGACACCAAGAGGACAGAGGTATGTTTAACTTCTAATGCTCATAGTGTTTCTCCTGCAGGTGCTTCTGAAGCAATCCAGCAGGTAAGATTTTTAGGTCACACATCAAGCCAGCAGATCAGGGTGACAGAAAGGATATATTTGTAGTGTTTGGCTCGCCTGAATTCCTCAATCACGTTCCTGGCATATTTGATCATGTCCCGTACTGTCTCCGCTGATGGAGGATCGTTCAGCTTGCGGATTTCCAGTTTCTCTTTATCCTGAAGGAAACACAATGGACACTGTAAATGCAGGTTCCAAGCCCTACAAATAAAGGCGCACCTGCTACCCAAAATTACTCTAATAAAAAGACACAGATGGGAACTTAAGCTCTTCAAAGAATGTAAAAACAAAGGTACAAGGTGCACCTGCAATTTTTCTCTAAAGCCTTGGCTGGGAATCCTAGAATCCTCTGTGCCATTCTCTACTTCCATGAAGTCCCTTTCTTTTGAAAGATCCAAGAGCTTTTCGATTTTGTGATGAAAGCAGTTTTACACAGGAAATTTCGCTACTTCCAAGAGACTAGGGATTAAAACAAATTTAGTTTTAAGGCTAGAAAAGCCTGAATACCTTGGGCCTACCACCAAGTGACAGCTTGGTGGAAAGTGAAATTATACTAAATACACAAGAGGATCCTTCATATCTACAGACAAAACTACATTTTCACATCCTTTGTTATTTCTGCTGGACAGCTCCACTTGCTCTTATCTTTCTATCTAACTTACTACATCATGAAGAATCAGCTGCAATCTGGAGACAATCTTTTGCTGTTTAAGCCTCACATTGTTGCTAGATTTCTTTTTCCTTTATTATTTCATCTGCCAGATGAGAGCGCTACAGGGGACTCTTTCCAGAGCTGAAGGAGGCTGAGAGACAGGTGATTCCAAGAGTAACATGTTGCTGGAAATCACAGATGGAATCCTGGCTTCATTAAACTCACTGGCAAAATTATGAAGGTAACTGTGGGGAAAAACACAACTATGGTATCAACAGAATGGCCTCAAACACAAATACTGGGTAGTATCTGGAAAAAAAAGTTATAAAACATGACACCATTTAGAGGAAGGAGATGATTGGTCAGTTTGGGAAGCAGCTGTCAAAAGGACATCTTTGTGAAAATGTGGGGAAAATGATCTGGAACTTAAGGATCAGACAATGCCAGCCAGACTGATCTTGGCTGGAATGACAGATGAGCCACCCAAAGCTCAATTCTCCTAGGACCTCCAGTGAAGAAGGTCCAAATGGTTACACAGGCACACCGGTTTCAGTATTTGGTTTGGGTACTTCTTCCCCCCCAGAAGTGCTTTCCTCCAAAATAACTAACAGCTTGTTTCAAGAAACACTGTCCGGATGCCTGCCTTTGCCCTTTGAAGGGCACCAGGTGATGTCTAACGAACATAAATCTTGCTTACACATCACAAGGGGCTGTAACCCATCACCCTGTCCGTGAGAAGACTGATATGATGCCATTAGCAGAAAGCCTGTTTCGCAGATTCTGCTGGGTCCCCAAACCACCCAGCAATGTCGCACAACGTCATCTAGAATTGTCTGAGATGACCCAAGTGAGAACTGCAGCAGGACTCTATTCCAGAGCAGGACCCTAGAAACGCCCCAAGCAAGACTCACTTGCTGGGCGTTGGTAGAAAACATGCAGTTAAAAAAAAAACAAGTTCTGAGCTAAACTCTTTTGGCCAAGTAGCATAGACACAGTGTAATTATCTACTTTTAACAGAGTTGTGATCTTTGCTTTGTAGCTCAACTTTAAATAGTCCTCTACCAGGAGATTTCCTGATGTGTCATGATTACAGTGGAAAGAATGAGTATCAGAAAGTCTTCTAGACAGAAAAACAAAACCACCCCCTCTCTGTTATCCTACTTTCCAAAATGTAATTACACCAGATAGAATATTACATCTAAGGACCTGGGTAGGTGCCTTGAAGGTCGGAAGCATATTTCACACCAATTTTATTTATTACTTTACCTTTTCTTTCGTAATGCATTCCCTGCAATCACAATTAAAGAAATATGCATCTCTTAACCGGTCATTTCTGTCTTCTGTGGGATACAACAGGTCAATATAGCTGGTAAAAACCTATATGGTAAAAAACCACAGCAGTCAGTGAAAAGCAGTGTAACTATACGTATTTATTACTACTAGTTCTGGTATATGTAGTATGATGACTATATATCCATACAGCTTGTGGATCCCTGCAGCCACATCACCTACCTGTTCACTCACATTCCAAGCCTCTCAGCAGCATCACAAGTTGCCATTTGTGAATGCCATTTGACAGTAACGTGTTTCCTTTCCTATTGATTATGGAATTTCCCTCAAACATTACCCTGGCTTAAACCCAGGACAGCAAGATTCAGGTGTGGATAAGGAAAACATCACAGCATAAATGTCAGGCTCCTGTCAGATTACAGAGAGATGCCTACTTTTCAGAAGTAAAATAATGATTTCAGGTATCCAGCCTAGGATAAATTACAGTGCCCTGGTTTTCTGGAGGCTGGGATCTCAATTTTTACTTTCTGAAAACCTACAAAAATTGGGGCAACAGCAGTCACTAGTAGCTTTAGAAACTTAGGACAAGACCTTCAGATCTCTGAAAAGAAGAGAGGCCCAGTGCTCCAGTTCTAGGAGAATGAATATCAGATTTACTTCAGCAGCAATATTTTAAAGCAAAGAAAACCTGCTTTTGAACATTTTAAAGGCCCTTCACATACCCTACTCTTAAGTTTTCCTCTATTTGAATGCTCTTCAGAAAAGAACCCCTGCGACTAGCTTTAATGCTCTGGTGTTAAAATGAGATCTCCCCCAAGAAACATGTCACATGCACAGCGCAGTTGATCATTTTGCAGACCAAGGGACAGCTTTAGTTCCCTTTCCTCATTACTAGTTATTTGAAATGTTTTGCTCAGTCTTTATGCTTAAGGTTTCTTTCTTCTTTAAAGTAAAAAGTACATGCAATTTCATACAGTACACCTTCTTCTTACTCTGTGTGATCTCACACTTTCCCTCACACTCCTCTCCTCCCTTCCCTATTTTCAAAGCACACAAAATGCAAGAACCGCATTTAACAGCCAAAAACTTTGAAAATATTGTGATGCAATGGCTACGTTAAACCTGAAGATGGAGACACAGGCCATAGGACTGCACAGAGCCCAAGCAAAACCATGAGTTCACGTTTATAAAATTCTCAAGGTGTCAGAAAAGCAATTGTGCAAAAGCCACGAGGTCCTGGAGAACTGAGGCAGATTCTAAGATACAACTCAATCAAAAGAAGATGCCAAGCAAGGTAAATGCTCCACATCTCTACCTCTCACAGTAAGCTCTCCCCAAAAATGCTGAAAAGGTCTGGGATTCCACAGTAAAATTCCAGAACCAGGATCAGCCCCTGTCCATTACTACAATGCATTTGCAATGACTGCCAGCATGACAGACAAATCACCGTTAGTAAATGGCACAAAAAGAAGTTGCTCACCTGAGTCATTCACCCTTGGCTCCAGCAATTAAACTCGCTTTGTTCACAATGGTGAACAGCTATAATCCACAAAAATAACCTCTCCCCCCTTCTTCAAAACTGGTATCACACACTTCAGAAAGCAGTAAGAGCTATCAAAATCAAATCTGGACTTATTTTGACCAGCATTCACCTTGCCCGCTAAATTAACAAACGAGCCACTGAAACTCTATGCAAACTCTACCCCCAGAGAGAATGTTCCGTATCTTCATCCCCTGCAGATATTTGAACATCCTCCTCAACTCTGTTCAACATTTTTTTTTCTGTTTTTTAAAAGCAAAAAGCAGCTCTGCTGCTGAAGACTCCCTGCCAAGTTCATTATTTGATTGAGAAAGTTTCCGGGTAAACCCAGAGCCTTACTCAATTTCACTGAATTTTATCCATCACTATTTAGCTTCACTCCACCTCAAAACACACCCTTGTTCTTCTGTGACTTCCTAGCAAACGCTGCTGAGGTGATATGACTGAGTCCCATGTTTTGTGGATGCTCTGTCCAAACAGAAGTCAGAGGACTTATCTGTACCCATTTACCTTGTTTATTCTGGCTCCAATTTCAATACATTACCATTATGCTGGGAACTATTATAGCAGTAATAATTTGCTTTGATCTTGGAATTTCAAAGCACCAGCCAAACACCAGTAAACTCAGCCTCATTTTACAGATGGGTAACTGAGACAGAGGCTGCCAGATACGCAGTGACTGCTGCAGGTGCACTTCCCTTGTTTCAGTACAAAACAGGAGACTGCCTCCAGGAATCACCTCAGTCCTCCAGAGCCACCCCAACTTCTCCAAAGCAACATCTTGCAATTCTCTGAGAAACAGGAGATCTTTCCCCCCTAGTACTAAATTGTCATCTAACTGAAACGAATCCTGGAAAGCAGAACGTGTCCTACTTCTACGATGCGTGCGTACAGAGTCCATTCAAACACAGTGCACTTACCTCTTCTCCAGGTTCAATCTCTTTAACAGCTCTGACTTCAGCCAAGGTCCCCTTGTAAGTTACAATCACATTTGGGCAACAGCTATGGTTCATCAATGCGACACTGCAAAAGTAAGAAAGTAAACCTTTTTCCCTCCAAACACCAAAAGCAAAAAGTTAAGCACCACTTCACAAAACAAGTCAGTCTGAAAGCTTGAGCTGGCCTCTCTCTTCAAGCTGTTTTTATTCTGAGGCTTAACATGAAGGTAACCTTGGGAAAATCTGTTGTACTGCTATTTACTCTAATGATACAAAGAATGCCTGTGCTAATGAATCATTACCATTTTTAAATCCTATTATTGCAGGACTAGGCAAGTTATTGTTTTCCCACTCTTATAGTGCTACAGGACAGCTGACAGGGTGTTCACACAGCTTGACTATCACCATCCTACTTAGGGACCTGTGATAGACAGACTATTCTCCTCAGAGGAGAAAGAAAGAGAAACTCATTTAAGTTAAAGGAAACAAGCAAATACAGGAAAACAAAAGTAATTTGCTGCATCACAACTTAAGATGGGTGTTGAAATTTTAGCTGGCTTCTGTGCAAATGTAAGCAGCCTCTGTGTCTGAAGCGCAAGGGAAGAGATCTCTGTCTGTTGTACCAGCGTGTGACTTACACGAAAACTTGGACTTGGACGAAAGCACTCCCCCTTGCTACACAACTTGGAGAAAGTGCAATTTGCTGCTTAGTTGAGATAACATGTCTGATTTTAATTCTTTCTCTTTCAATCTACCAAAATAATGTCTCTTCAGTCTTTTTAGCTCACAGGAATAACTGTTAAGTAGGAAAGATCTGGCTCTTGCATGCTGAGCATTTACAAAGAATGGTGTTGGACACGTTTCCAGCACATCCTGGTTTCATTACTCTCCTCTCCCCACCATGACTCTGATCCTGGGTATTTCAAGGCCTCAATTTCCAATCTGTAGATCAGGGATATGGACTTCAGACAGACCTGCCTGAAGAAGGAGAATCTGTGAAGCGAGGACTATCTACTACTGTCTGTATGCAGCACTTAGCAAAATCAGGTCCTGCTTTAATTGGGCACCTGTGAGTTTCAGATTACTTTGACATTGATAAACTGCTAGTAATCTATGCCTCACAAGGAAGTCAACCTAAGCACACAGTGATAATACTTTCAGTATGGAGTCTGCGAAGAATAGGGGAAGAAAATATCCTCCTTTGCTACAACATTAAGTAGGAAGGACAGACTTAAACGGAAGAAATGTTCCTCAGCCTCAAAGAGAGCTGTGAGCCCCTGTCCATGAACTGCCGTTTACACTTAACACCTGCAGTTTATTCGTAAAGCCAAGGAGCTTGTACCTATTTTTCCACTGTCATAGCAGTTCTTAAAACATCTGAGGAGCCTGAAAGAAATTATGAAAGGGATTTACTGTTTGCAAAGGAACCAAGATAGAAGGGATGTTGTTCAGAGAACACCAAGTGAAGGATTATACCCAGCCAAAACAGAAAGTCGTGAATCGAGCAAGTCACCTGCAATCCTTGTTATTTCGCTTCGATCGTTACATGACATCCCTGTCCAGTACCTGCTAGCTAAGTGTTTCCTACCAACTTGCATATAGTTCACAATCTAAGCCTCAAAACAAATTACAAGTGCATTTTTTACCAAAACTACCAGATTTTCAAGAAAAACTGCTGCAAATCATTTGCCATATTTTATTAGCTAAAGATATTTAAAACAAGACAAATGAATATTAAATGCTTAATTAAATGTATTTTGGTACAGGTCTACTTTCATACATGTGAGAGAACCTTTGTTTTTAAATAATTTATTTTTATTTTTAAAAATAGTAAAATTAACCTACTCAGGAAATATGGCTGATCCCAAATGAGAGAGCTCTTCATCTTCAATTGTGAAGCCATTACAGTTAACCTAAGGAAAGAGAGAAACAGTCTAGTTCAGCTTCTGATTAGTTAAGTGCTCCACACTCATCTATCACATTCTCATACTTCAAAGTAAATTGCAGTGATTTGCTCACAATTTTCCTTCCACCTCACCAGTACTCAAAGGGAGCTACACGACATCTCAAAAAGTGAAGTGAGGACAAAGTCCCTATCCAAAGGAACGTGCAGGACACTAAAGAGCTGACAGTCCAACACCTGCGCCTCCTCGGGACCTAACATCTAGGAGACTGCTCCTTGGAATGCCAAGAGAAACGGGGCTTGAGGAGAGTCCTGGAAAGTGTCACACAAAGCAAGACCATTGCAAACACAAAACAAAGCCTGACACTGAAAGAGTAGAGATTTTATTTGGCCATGACAGGTGAAGGGCCGAAGCAGAACCAACATGCAAGGAGCAATGGAGGGATGAACAGCAGCAAACTCAGCCAGGCTGAGGCCGTATGGAGCTGTAATGCAGCATATGTTACAGAGACTTGCCACAGTGACACCTGTCATCAAGGGCTGCACATAGCCGCTACAGCTAAAGCACATATAAAGAACAACAAAGGCAGTGAGAAAGACTCGAACCTAAGAAAGACATAGAATAGGAGGGGACAGAAAAAGGACAGAGTATGCGAGGAAGTGTGTTCCTCATTTACACACAGGATCAAAGGAGCTCGTTCACAAATCTTTCTTATAGATTCGATTCAAACAGGTTTAAAACCTTCCCTTCCTTTTATTGTCACTAACCTCAATGGAATCCTACAGGAGTTTCAGCTTTCTTTCACATCATATGTGTGACTTTAAGTGAACAAAATGCACCTCAAAATGCAATTTATTTCACTTTCACTGCAAGTCACATATATGCCAACACTAAGAGAGCCCTCTCCACATTCACCAACTTCTCCCTACAATCATCAGAACATTCACAGAAGCGCTGGAAAAGCACTAAAACAACTACTGTCATGCAGCCAAGTCCAGCTGAAGCTACCGTGGGCACAGGAACAGTCAATCAAGTACAACGTATTTGGTCTGGAAGGATAAGAGTTGACGACTAACAGTACTGAAAATGAAAGGCCCCACAAGCTGGAATGCAACTTGGATTGAACTTCAGAAATCATAAATAATTCCCAAAGATACTCCTCAGGTGTGAACTGTTCAGGATGAGTTCACCATTAAGGAAAGTGTCCTGCTTCTCCGATTCACTCACCATTAGCTTTGCTTGATCTTTATCCTGCTTTTTTTACCAAGGCAGTATACAAAGGCTCCCTGTCTCTCAAGATGAGCATGCTACAGCACTGGTCAATGTATGAGCATACCTGAACCAAAATGCAACTGCTGAACACAAAAACAATAGGAGGGAAAGGCTGTATCAACAGCAAGTAAGAACATAAGGCTACAAAGGCTGACATGAAGAACAGCTTGATGGTTCTGAATCACAGGGAAATATTTAAAAATATGTAGTGAGTTATCATCAACTCCCCTCCGCTAAGCCAGAGACAACCCACTTCTTAAATGCATCATACCAGGAATGACACAAGCAGAAGAACTGGAAGGGATGAGATACCACTGGTTTCACCAGATGAATGCGTGACCAAAAAAGGCAACACCAAGGGAGTAAAGAGACAACAGCCAAAAAATCAGAGCTTGAAGTTGTTCCCAATGGTGGAAAAGAGAATGTGCAAAGGGAGGCACAAAATTATCCAAGGTCTTCAACAAAAGGATGATGCAACTTGAGACAAGAGAGAAACTGAAGAGTATGACAAAGTCAGACCGAG